CCGTGAGGGGAACCGGCAGCGAGCCCAGTCCGGAGGTATCTCCGTGAGAGGAACCGAAGCGTGACTTGCAAAATGTGGAATATATCAAGATTCTTTTAAATGAGAATGTTTTTAATGTAAACTCTTTGTATACTTTCAAACCGAATCAGCAAGAAAGGAGACCTAACGAGAGGAAAGACAGCAGCCCTTAGTTACGGGAACTAACAAGCTTTAGGGATATAGTAAATCAAAATGTTGATGTATGTGTATGTATACATTGATAATTTGGCAAAGGACTCAAGGTCTGTATATCCTGCAGCTGAACTATCTTCATTATAATACTTAAGATCATGTCTAAGGGTTGAAAAGGCCCTGCTTGGGTGCAGACCCTTCCCCATTGCATGTGGAGAAGTTAGCTGGGGATTGGCTAATTTGTATGGAAATTACTAAATAATCTTAATAGAGGGGTTGACCTTGGAAAAACACCAACTCTGAACTGCTGTAAATAATAGCATGGAAAGCCCAGTGGGGTGTGTTGGGATTTGTGGAAACCTAACAAGCATCCAGGCTTGTGCAAATAATATTTCTCTCAAGTGTGTTATTGGCTTGTTGCACACCACATAGTAAATCTGCTTTTGAAGACAACAGGACTGATTAGCCTTGAGAACACCCAGAGGTCCAGGCAGACCTGGACCTACACCAGGAGAAACCAGCCGCATCCCTCCCCACGCTTCTTGTTGCACCCCGAACAGAACCATTCCAGATAGCTTTTCCTATGTGAAGATGCCCTGAGGAGCAAGCCTGCCCAAGGAACAGGTTTTCCACCAGCCAGAGGGAACCAGTGACCCAGAAATAGAGACTTTACAGATTAATGAAAAAGCAGCCTGCTACATACGGTGCAGCTAGTGCCTCCTTCTTTTTTCTCTGTTTTTCATCTTTTATACAGCCTGTAGCATCACATTTCTGTTCACATGTATGAACTGTACACTCACACATCTTTTCAGTGTAAAGGCCATATATGTATCAGTATGGATGGATGTCATGCTAATAACCATTTATTAGCAGTAGGATACATCAGCAGATGATGCTGAAGAAAGGGAGCAAGCAGACTTTATGGGTACTACCTCCAGTATAAACTACCATCAGCATTACTGTTTTATAACAATGTTCATTAAGGGAAAATACTGGCACAGGCTGGCCAGGACAGTGATGAAGTCACCATCCCTGGAAGTGTTCAGAAAACATGTGTATGTGGCACTTGGGGACATGGCATAGTGGTGACCTTGTCACTGCTGCATTAATGGTTGCACTCCACGATCTAAAAGGGCTTTTCCCTATTTTTTACAATTCTGACCCTTTATTATGAAAAGTGAAAAGGAAAGGAGGAGGGGCTACCAAATTTCCCTCGTTTGGTGTTAAATTTTAAAGAAGGAAAACACTACTAACACTTTTCAGTAAATTCGCCACATCAGGTGAAAGCATGAAAAAGCAGGATCCACTGGGTCCACCTGAAGCTGAAGGGCACTAACAAGCAGCTATTATTTATTTGGCTAAATCCTGTAACCCGAGACTTTGTGATGCACACAAGAGATGGGTGAATGCTGCTGGATAAGAGCCGCAAGCAGCCAGACTAAAGATTTGATGAAATGCTCCTGTTCTGATACTTTGCAGCCTGTAGAAGTTGGTTACCTGATCCTCTGCTGTACCTGAGCCTCATTGTTGCAGCTTTTAATAACTGAATATCCAGACGACCTATAAAGGTGCCTTTGAGGAAAGAACTGACAAGAGTCAGTTTTCCCAGCTCAAAATGGGCAACAAGCAAACCATTTTCACTCAAGAGCAACTGGATGCATATCAGGTATAAAGCAAACTAAATGGCTGTTTGGACAGGACATTGAATAATGGCAAAGGTGTTGTTGGGTTTTTTAAAACAACACCTTTTAAAAATTAATAAGTAGAAGTACTGAATTGCAGCAAGGATTTTAGTAACATAGTTTGATTTTTACATCAGAAAGAAGGATTATAAAATACTCCTAATTGTATGCCAAAAAGAAATCTTTAGTGCTTACACATACACTACGGTATAACTTCATTTAAGTGATTGCATGGGAAAAGTTTGGACCTATGTATGCTAAAAACTGTCATTATGTGTTATACCTTTTCTAATTTCATAGGACTGCACATTTTTCACAAGGAAAGAAATTCTGAGGTGAGTCTTCTGCATGCATGTTGTGAGTAAAGGACAGAGATTGCTGTAAAGGCAAGTTACATGTGGGGTGGGGTAGAGTAGTTCAAAAATAATTTTTAAATGAATTTACTCAAAGTGATACCTTGGGGCAATCTGAGCATTTTTGTTGGCTTTTTTCATTTACAAACCCTATCCTAAACTGAGTCAGAATTCTAAATTTTGTATTCATGTACTAGTCCCTCTTTATTTATTAGAAATAAGTGCAATGAATTATGTCTTAGTGGCAGGAACATCCACAGTTCTCTCATATGGTTTTCAGACAGATGATTCAAAGTGTACTGTTATTCTCTGGAATACTTTGGTGGTTTAGGAAAACTTCTATGATTGTGTCAAGTTTTCTTGTAAATGATTATACTGCTGCTCTAAGATGCATTTTCCCCCAAGTCTTCATGTGCCTCACTGAACTTCCCATTTAATCTTTGGCCAAAGGATCTGATAAAGGCAGGATCAGGATTCTGTTCAGGGACTGAGAGTCCTCACTCGAAAACATGAACATGTTTTCCTCTCATAAGGGTTTGGCTGCATGTCCTGTGTAAGCATTTTCACCTAACAGCTCTATAAAGAAGTTTTGTGTACTTTTCACCAGTTACACTATGTTGCTTGTTTTTTCCAATAAAAACTGTTAATGACTGATCTCCATCTGGTAATGCATGCGAAGTGTGAAAAATTAGGTGGAAAAGCAAAACACCTTGTTCTCAAAAGTCTGAAGAGCCTGTTCAGCCAACAAGCCTTTCTCTCTGTCTCAGGCTGTTTTACAGGTACCGAGATCTGGCCCCACAGCTTGTTCCCCTTGACTACTCCGACAAACCAGCCGTGACACTCCCCTACGAGCTCATCGGCAGCATGCCAGAGCTCAAGGTACCGAGCACACGACTCGAGTGACACATTTCAGTTTCATCTACCCTTTCTGAATAATTCATCCAGGACTAATTGCTGGGAGGCTGACATAGAAATAAATATGGACTATCAAAGTCAGAAGTCTTTCTGGAAGCTTCTAGTAATTCCCAGAAAACACCCTAAAACAGCACAAAGGTTGAACAGGGGTGTGGCTGTGTCTGCTTCTGATACAGCATTAGATAAGAATTTAAAGGCTGAAAAGGGAAAATTTGCCGAAAAGGTGATTCAACAAAAGTAATCTCACTCCACTTGCCTTACCTGCACTGAAATAAATGCTAGTAAGGATGACCTTCCCTTGCTCTGTTTCCCAGGACAACCCATTCCGCCAGCGGATAGCAGAAGTGTTCTCAGAGCATGGAGACGGCAATATGACTTTAGATGATTTTTTGGACATGTTTTCTGTGTTAAGTGAAATGGCTCCCAGAGACTTGAAAGCTTATTACGCTTTTAAAATTTATGGTGAGTAAGATGTGTAAAAAGTAAGCAGGGAAATCCTGCAGCTTCATGTAGGGCTGCAAAATCCTCACTTTGTCACCATAATGATTTCTAGTTACCATTTCTTTTAGTAGCACTTGAATGTTTGTTCTCCCTCTTCTAAAAACTTCTGGCTTTCTTTATCCTTTTGTCTCTAATTTATTTGGTATTAAGATTTGCTTGAAATTTACAACTTGAAATTATCTGCAGTTGTCAAGAGCTGATAAACATTAAGGAATATTTCTGTCTGAGGGGCTGCTTGGAAAAGTACGGTACAGGGGATTTGGCTGCCTACGAATCTGTAGGGTGAATTGGGAGGGGCAGGCAGGGAAGCACACTGCAGGCTTTTTTCTCCAAGAACAAATGTAAAGGTATTTTTTTTAAACTACCATTTACAGTTACTTTCTTTATGATCAGCTAAAGACAAACAATATATCAAACCCACACAATCTTGCTGGAATAATTTAATGATGGCTAGGCTATGTTTAGCCATTAAACTACTTACAGTTGTTACACTTATGTATGAAAAGGAGAAATTGAGATTTTTTTATTTTGTAACTCATTTCTTTTACAAGTAGATAGAGGTAACTTAATTTCTGATTTGAGAGTTCTACTGAAAAAAATTCATCACAGCCTGGAAACCAAACCCTTCTACTGGGTCTTGGCAAAGAGCCATGCAAAATGCAGACTTTTGTCACTTTAAATTAACTTTGTCTCCTTTGTCAGACTTCAACAATGATGATTACATATGCAAATCAGATCTGGAGAAAACTGTCAACAAATTAACCCGAAATGAACTGACCCCAGAAGAAGTCAGCCTTGTGTGTGAAAAGGTGATTTACGAGGCCGATGTGGACAACGATGGCAAGCTGTCCTTGGCAGACTTTCAGCATATGATCATACGAGCTCCAGATTTCCTCAGGTAATACTTGCTTTTAATTTCTAAAACAAAATTCTCTTAGTTTCCTTGTCAGAAGCCTCTGAAGTATGTGCTTACATCTCCTCAGCATTTGCAGATCACCACTCTTCCCTGGCAGGTTCTAGTAAGAGCTGCCCACTGCAAACACTTCAAAAACAGGTGCTTGAAAAAGCCTGGAGGCTTCTTGACTTGCTTTTGAACTTCCAAAGTGCTTTTTACATGATAGAAGGTACTTGTAACTTAAAAATTTAGTATTAGCACTCAGGCTGCATTGGCAAATGCATGAGATTTGCTCATTCAATGCTTAATACAGCGTTAATGTGGTTTCTGATGCACATCTTACACAAAACAGCACTCAAATCTTGCATTTATTTAATGTACCCAGTCTAGGGAAATGCTTTGACAAATAAAGTTTCCAATTTATCACAGAGACCTACAATTAATTGTAGTAAATACTTCAAACAGAGTGATACATAAGTGGTCATGATTTCCTTTTTTTAACAGCACCTTTCATATTCGAATCTGAATCTAGTTGACCATGGGGACGGGAACTCTTCTGGGACTTCCAACAACTCTTACTTCACCTGAGATTACCAACCATGAAAGCACAAGATGAGAGGGCCAAAGTGGACAATTTCTGGTACTTGAACCAGCCAGAGAAGTGTCTTTCATTTATGTCCTTAATGAATTGTCCCTTTTAAGCTCTTCATCAGGATTTCCCTGTAATTTAGCAAAATGTCCATTCCCTATCATCAGGTAGAGCAAACCTGGCCTGGGCAGCCAGAAGGGGAGTATTTTTTTTAAAGTTCACACACCACCAGGTAGTAAAGGAACTTGTATCAAGCTATAACCTCTAAAAATTCACCTAAAAACACCTTAACCAGCAAAAAAATCCGTTTAGTTTCAAAAACGTAAGTAACTCCTATGGTTATTTATGGTCTTAATAACTGGTCCAGTGAATCAATTCCTTAAGTATTCTCCCACAGTGCAGGATTAACAATGAAAAAGTCAGCATAGTTTAGAGACAAGAGTCTACCCCAGGTCCTGTCCCTCTTTTTCATTTTCAGAAATCCCTATTTTCCACACCCACCAGGGTGCCTATATACTAATAATGAAAAGGACTGAAAACTTAAGTTTGCAAAATTCTCTTTTCAAAAGAAGTTTATTTATGCAGTGTTCAGGGTCCTGTACAAGAGAGTAAAAACAGACATACTGTAATAAACAAGTTTTGTTTTAATACAAATATGAAAATCAATGAGAAGTGTTTAAGAAAGCAGTTGTAATGTGGAAAGGGTGGCAGCCAAAAGTGATCATTCAAAAATACAATTTACAGTTATTTTTACAAATCTTGGGATGCATTAAACTCCCTTCAAAACAAAGCTGTAAGTCCCAACTCACACTCAATGTAGAGCAGATGATTCCTGCAGAAAGGCTGGAGTGACCAGTTAACCAGCCAGTTACCTTTATTAACCACAAAACCTCCAGGGATCAGTGAAGGATGGGTCAGGTAATAAGGCAGCCTGGAACACTCAGACTGCAGTTACCATTCACGTTCTTTTGAACAGATCTTTAATTAAGCTAGAAATGAAGACACAAATTAGTCATCATTCTTCCCCAAGCCCCACAACTTCTACAAGTACAAAGGAGCCCATCCTCACACAGCTGCTTGTGCATATCAGCATCTCATATGAAAGGAGAGACCAAATAATTTTCAGCAGCAGTAAAGAGACTTACAATAATCCATAGGATTTATAAATCTGAGGCTGGAAGTCTGATGCTGGCATAAGGTTCTGATGTCAGGAAACTTGGGCTGTGCCTGTCAGTACAGGACACAGACAACATCAGTGTTAAGCGTTAGAACAACAGCTCCACCACTTATTGACAGACTGACAGGTCTCCACCCCAAGGAGTGACGACTATGCAAAATACTGCAACCTGCCTCAATAATAAAATCAACCACAGGATTCCATGATACTCAATAATATAAGGGAATTTGAGAACATGCTAAAAAATGGGTTTGTTTCTCTACAAAACAGATGTTAATCGATTACCTGACATTTTAGTGCTATTTAGACACTGAGAATGAGTAGTAAGCACAGTTAGTTTCAATTCCTTCAGTGCCCCAGTTTTACAGATTTTGTACCCAATTTCCGATCTTTTTTCCTCTATACTTGAAGAAAGCTTAGACACAAGTAGATTTTTCTATGTATCTACACAGTACCTCTCTGACAATTGCATTTTTCTTTACATTCATATTTAATAAACACAATAAAGTAATTGAATGATGTGATGGAACCAAACTGCACTTCTCTTAGATTTAACGCCTGTGTTTAGTGACACATAGCTAAGCCCAAGCGCACTGCAGTGTCTTTAACCTTTTCCTCTTACACTTGAATTTTAGGTTTCACATTGCTTACAGATTTCATGTCTGTGTAGAGCCTTCATATCCAGAAGTACAGTGATGACTGTAGTCACAGTAACTGTATGAGACTTCCTGAGATCAAGCAATAATGTTGTTGTTCGTAAACCCAACCATTTCAAAGGAAATAATGTTATAATTAGGCACATAATCACATGCAACAACCAGCGTAAGTTTAAACAGAAGGTATTCACTACAAATAATTCTGAATGCAAGAGTAACTTCAGATTTAGAGAGTGAAAAATCACAATACTATCCTTCATATTTTACCCACTTGTAAATGAATATGGTTTGCTTTCCCATCTTGAGATCAGTTATTGATACAGTCCACAAGCAAGAACCAGTATCATGGCAGACCCATGCTATCAAGTCAGATAAAACGCCAATTTTTCCAGTCTCTCTGGAAAATAAATCTGGCTCAACATCTGGCTGTATAAAGCACAAGACAGATGCAAGACAATCCACAGTTATTACTAAGCCAGAAGCAAATGGTTACAGTGATGTAGGAAATCTAGCCAGTCTTATCACCACCCCAGCTGTGCCTCAATCATTTCTTGAAGCACACACAAACTCTTTAAAAAACTCCTTAGCTCAAGATAGGGGTGCTGCTTGTCCAGTCTGTGGTCTGTGTTAACTACACTCTGAAGCACACACTGTCTAGAAGCCTCTTCAGTAACTTAACATGGTTTTATCCTACAAATACATCAGTGTGTCAATCCACTACAGGGCACGTTCATCAAGTCCTCATGCTAAAAAGCCACAAGTAAACAAAAAAATCAAACCATCATAAGGTTCTGGTTAGAGGAAAGCTTTAATCAGGACAGAGATCATCTAAATGCATCTAAAAATGCATTTTTATAAACTTACACAGTGAAATCTTTTTCCATTTTAAAACAGGCCACATTCCTGTTGGGCCCAATTGCATGCTGAAGATTTATACAGTTTAATTGTGACTCCAACAGATATCTAACTACAGCAGCACTTACTAGGTGCTACTCTGAGGCCCAGAGTTCAATACCACAAACAAAAGAAAACAAAGCTGGTGAGTAAATTCAATAACTTCAAAATCAACTTTAATTTTACCCTTAAGTGCAGTTGATAATGTAAACAAAGCATGTTTCAGTTCCAGCGAGCTGCAGTACACAGCTAGTGTGTTCACTGGAGGCAGGTACACCATCACTGCAATCCAGTGATGACAGCAGCCTCGGAAGCTGATGCTCTTACTGCCTCCTTTTGTCAGTCTAAGCCAGAGGCAGGCTCACAGCCCCTGACCTGGGAGCAACCACCCACTGAGGAGCTGTGCCTGGCTCTTGTATTTCACACATCAGAATACACTGGACTGGGTTTCTGGGAATGACTAACAGACTGCTTCTGGGGAAGAATGTGCACTGACATGTCCTGTGAACAGGCTGTTGCTGCCTGACAGCTGCAGTGACTAACACACAGCAGCAAGGCCAGTCTCAGTCTAAGAGATAAACTCTCTTTTCATAAAGTGTTCTGATGTGCAACATTTATTTGCATATCTGAGCAAGTGTGCTTGGGAACACACAAATGGGAGCAGTGCAATATGTTTCCTTGTCATGATTTAAAACTACCTACTGTGTCATGATAGGTCTAGAGTCATTTCCAGCTGGAGAGTGGTAAAGCTACCCATTCTAAGGTGACAGATTTTGTGTAAGTGTCCCTGCTTGACCCTGGTTCTCCAAGAACAGATGACAGATCATCTGTACAGGACTCAGTGTAGCCATCAGCTCCTGTTAAACACATCTGAATGTCTGGAGTACTTAATTAAGCACAGTTAAGTCTAATATGGATGAATTAGCAATGGTAAGGACCCATTCTATTTACAACACACATTCTTTTTTTAAAAAAAATAGAGATTCTTTTGAGGAGAATTTTTTAAAACTTCAATCGTACTTGTGGATTGTCTAGAGTAACACAACTGATAAAGGAGATAAAGAAGTTTCTCTGTAGTAGTAAAGAGGTGGAGCTGCAGAAAGCTCCCTTGTACCACTCCTGCAAAAGCATCAGCCTGCACTGCTCACCTTGGTGCATTTCTGGGATGGTCTCACGCCACTGTTCTGTGTACAGCTACACACTGGATATGCACATATACCACATATCACACCTGTACTTCATTAACAGTGGCATTTAAGTTTCTTATTTTGATCATAACTTCATCTTTCTAAACTGGATACATGACAGATACGAATGAAGATGGAAGTCTGTCAGCAATGGTGCTGCATCTCACATGTGTATCTGTTCTTCCTCTGCTAGACAATACACATACCCAGTGGCAATCTGACAAAAATAAACTTGTTTCATCTCCAAAACTGAAGAGTCAGACAATTACCAAAATAAAGCATTTCTTATTCAGATGGTCACAAAGTGACAAGGTATGCTAGGAGCACTAAGTCCATGGAAAGAGGAAACCTCACTTAGCACAGGCACAGTCCAGCTCAGATTAAGGCCGTGTCCCTCACAGAAGAACACATCGGAAAAAGCTGCTTTTCTTTTGCTGGTCTTGTGTGATTTTGACTCCCTGGTTGCTGCCTTGTGGGCTATTGCCTTCCTGAAGATGGAAAGAATACCCAGTTATTTATACTCAGCAGATTCTCCCATCCATACTTCATTTGACCATTCTGCTGAACCAAGCCTAACATACACAAAAACTTTTCCCACAATCAATAAGATACTTCACTCATTTATCTGTGCCTTACACCAGCCATGATAGAAAACCAGAGAACTGCATCTGCAGCTTTTGGCTTCAAGCAGCTCACACTGTGCTTATGCCTCAGCTTCCACCAACTCAAAGACAACTGAGATTAAAAACAAATAAATTACAGAGCGTGTCTGGCTCTTGTTGAAAGGCCTAGGAATCATCAGCAAGACACAAAATATCCCACTGCATCAGTTCATATCTCGTCACATGAAGGTGGAATTACCAGTAAGAGTAGAAAGAACCCTCATTAGCTTCATTTCATATTCCTAAAGGAACAATCCAACATCACTGTGCATTTACTTGTTGTAGAAAGACAACCCAATTGTTACTCAGGATATTTGCGCAAAGATTATCCAAAACTATTAATTCTTTACCTATTCTTAAACGGTTTGAAGCTTCTACCCTGAAGTATAATGTGTGCCTCCTCTATCTCTAATACATGTGGATTTCAGACTGCAAGAGTGAGAAGTATCATAAACTGCTCTACCCCCCGCCTGACTTTTATTAAACAAATAACAGATAATTTTATTTAGAAAATCTCAACCATTGCAGCTAACTCCTGAAATGCAGAAGACAACCAATGTCAGAGCCTGACAAACTAAGGATACATTTCTAGAACTTTCAATGATCTTTCATGTAAGAGACTATGATACATTTTTTATACACTGTGAAACAGTTCTTGCAATGTGGTTTTTTGTTTGCTTTTTTTTCTTATTTAAACCCAGCATGGACAAAATCAAAGTAACTCACCAACTTCTTGTCCATTTTTGCTTTGATATCTCTTGCAAGAGTGAAAAATGCCTGTGACAAGTCAAACAGTTTAGTGTTACAAAATAAATGTTTTCTAACAGTTTTGTTTAGCAATAAGCTACCTTCCCAAGTTTTGACATACTACACAAGAACGCTAGGCTTTCAGTATTTTTCCCTCTGCTCCAGGTTTTAATGTTCCTTCTCTAGCTCCACAATCTTCCTTCCTGAGTCACAAAGCCACACTGCCACCCCCAGCCAGGGTCTGTGCTGCAGCAAGTGCTTAACAACTCATCTGTGGTACCCAGCAATGGAGTTCTGCATCGTACCAGGATGGGCAACTGTCCACACTGCTGGTTTGCACAAAGAGGACAAAAAATACAAGAGAAAGGCATCAGTACTTACATTCTCTATGTTTATATTTGCTTTTGCACTGGTCTCCATGAATTTAATCCCAAAACTTGCTGCAAGCTGAACAAAAGCAGATTGCACATTAGTTGAACAATTACAGGAACAGCTCCAAACACAATCCTGGGCACAGCATCTGTCCCTGCTACCACCAGTCATTGGAGCTGGGGATTTACTCACGCAGAACAATTAGCAAAAATTAGAAACTAAATCTCACTGCAATTGGCATCTGTTATCACTGGCTTTGCTCTGCTCTTTTTCTTTGTGCTCTTCACTCTGCACACGTTTTAACTTGCACTCTTTCATTTGTTTCTTGCATAGATAGCTTGTCAGTCTCATAACAACCACAGTGCAAAAAAGCCTCTGCAAAAAAACCTTCTGACATCAGAAAAGACAATCCCATCTACCTCTGTCTCAGCAGCTTTCAGCCAAAACAGACATTTCCTCCATGTCCAACTCTAGCATCCTTTTAGAAAAGTCACACTCCTTGCCTTGCCATCTGTTAGGTAATTGACAAGAATCCTTGACACAGGTTCTGCTTTTAATCACAGTGTGGAAAAGCACTGCTATGACAGTTTGGGGAATGTTCTGTCATTCCACTCAGGAGCACCACTGTGGTACCATGGCAGCGTGCATTCATCAGTGCAGCTCTTAGACTCTGAAAAGCCCAAGTCAAAATACATTGAAGCCACAGCACTTACCTTCTCCCCTTGCTCTCTAGAGACTTGTCTTTTGTCATTTGCATCACATTTGTTCCCCAGGATCATTTTTTCAACATCTGGAGAGGCGTGCTGAGACAAACACAGACCAGAGACTTGGGCTTGGCTTTTGTAGATAAACATTGCCAGACAGATGAGGCACCCACTGAGTACCCAAGACAGTCCTGAGAATCTTGCACAGATTTCTAGGCTCCTCCAACCCCTCATCCCAGCATGTGCGGTGACTGCACCATGGCAGCTCTTGGATCAATTGTTGTGCAGGACACCGTCACATTAGGTGCACCCAAAAGTACAGGGGCTACAGCCCTCACAACAAATCACTATCAGCCAAGGCGTTCCAGAAGCTATTACTGATTTTCATCCCACTTACCTTCCACGTACCCCGCAGCACATGATGAAATGCAAAGCTTCTGAAGCAATTAAGCTTCAGTTACTTTCAGAGGAAGAAATCACACCTTTAACAGTCAGTAATAAGTAAAGGGAGAAATTACCTCTTCAATATTCCTCACCCAGTTCCGAATATTTTCAAAAGACTTTTCATTGGTGATGTCATACACTAACATAATGCCCTAAAGGTAAAGAAAGAGAAAGGTTGTTTCAGCAGGAGTTAAAGCTTTATCCATAACAGAGAGGAGCAAATCAACAGTGGCTATTTTTAATAACTGGTTCCCATTTATTGGCAGTGAGATTGGTGTGTGGGACCTGTATTCATAGAGTGAAGCATGGAGGAAGCTGCCTTTCCAAAGTCCCACATCATCCCAGCACAGCTCCAGCACCACTTGGAGCAGGAGCACAGCTGTGAGTGTCCAGCCTGGCAGACCACCACGCTGGGAGAGGGTCAGCTGTGAGTATTCCACATCAGACCCAGGTGACCTGACCCACCAGTGGGTTTATCACGACCCCTGTCACAGGATCACCAATTTGCTCCTACCATGGCTCCCCTGTAGTAGGCGGTTGTGATGGTTCGGAATCGCTCCTGCCCAGCTGTGTCCCTGCAACAGACAGAACATGGGGCTCACACAAAGCACCTCCACATTACCTCCATTTTACACTACCAAAAGATTGAAATAAATTTGAACCAGTCTCCAGAGCACTAGAACTATCTTTTGGGCTCTAAGATACCATAAACTACTGAACAGCATAACTAGATAAAAACCTAACACATCCCCACGCACACCACAGAGCCCCAGCTATTAGACGCTCGCTGCAACAGAAAAGCCTTACCAGATCTGCAGTTTGATTCTCTTGCCATCGAGCTCTATCGTTCTAATTTTAAAGTCGATACCTGAAAGGAGAATCCATTACTTTAGTCACAGGTCCTGCCGAAAGGGGGGCTTTCCCTTCAATTACGCTGCTGAGTTTCACGTCCTCGGTGCTCCCTCCCCGCCGCTCCCCAGCACCGGCCGGCTCCCAGGGGCTGCGGGGCCGGATGGAGCAGCCCCTGACGGACCCCGTACGGAGCCCCCCACTATGGCAGCGAATCCGCCCCTCCGGAACGGGGACCCGAGGCCGGAGCTGCGGTAGCCGAAGCCAAAGCCCCGAACGGGACAAGCCGCCGCCTCCCCGCGGGACCCCCGGGCGGGCCGGTACGGAGCGCAGCGAGGCGCGGCCGCGGCCGGCGCTCACCGATGGTGGAGATGAAGGTGGCGTTGAAGGCGTCCTCGGAGAAGCGGAACAGGGCACAGGTCTTGCCCACGCCCGAGTCGCCGATCAGCAGCAGCTTGAACAGGTAATCGTAGGTCTTCGCCATGTTGGTGGGCACCGGCCCCGCCCGCCACACGCTCATTGGCCGAGCCCGGCGGAGAGCGCACGGAGCCGGCACGCCATTGGCAGGAGGCCTTGACGCAAGTGTAAGTGGCGCTACGATTGGCTGTCGGCCCCACCGCCGGTGTCCGTCATTTCCTGTTGCGGATAGGCGAGGCGTAGTGACGTCACCCCGTGACAGCCCGCACCGTGACGCCACGCCCCCGAGCAGCAGCGGTACAAAAAACCGCGACGAGGCCTCGGTACTGAGAGCAATTGTTTAATATGAAACGGTAGGGACAGGGGCCCGCGGACGTGGCGACACCGCTCGGGTGCAGCTTCTACCGGGGTTTCTATGGAAGGACTAAAGAACCGTGAGAACAGCCACGGCAGCAGCAGCCGTGCATCAGGGGCTCCCTGAGGGCTCTCGGGATGAGCTGGCCCCGAGGGATGCCCAGAGCCTATCGTGTGGCTTTACTGGTCATAACTTAATTGGCTTTTCCAGGATACAGAGAGAGAAAGGACAGAGGAACGATGCAGGGACAGGGCTGGTTCCTGGTGGGTGCTGCCAGCTCTGTGCCTCTCATATACAGTTCAGTTCGTTTAGCGTCTGGTCCAGTGTCTGGTGCAAGCCCAAGTTCTCCTCTTTGGCTTGAGCAAGTTTTTCTGGTGAGAAAGAAAACCACAAGATTTAAATCACATTATTTCATTTTAAATCACATTCATTTCATGTTTTTTTCTCTTTAAATAAAACCTGGGGTAACTTACCTTCATATTTAAGACACCTTTATAGCAGTATCGTCAGAACAGGGCAAATTTTTTTGTAATTGCTGTCCTTATGGGAGGTTTTTGGACATGTCTAATGGAATGTGAAAGACCTGTGTTTTAATGCGTCATTGTGTCATTTATAGGACATGTTGTGCTGTGTTCTCCTTGGTCTGAGAGGTTTTTAACCAGGCTGGTGGAGCACAAGTACACAATGAGTGCACTTGAAGCTTTTTGCTGACACCTGCATCCCTGGGTACACTAAAATTCAAGTGTTTGCCAGAGCCAGGTCCTGCCCCATCCTAACCGTGTCTTGCCCAACTGCACATGAGGAGCTGAATGTGTTTTTGGTGTCATCACCAGTGTATTTGAGGTGATTTATACAGAAGTAAACCCTTAAAGATGAAAGGCAGAGGTATGTTTTATTGAGCTCAGTTCCCATGGGGGTGGAAGGGTTGCTTGTGGAAGTGGCACAGGAGTGACAGGGATTACAGGCAAGAAAAGCTTGAGAAACACAGTGAGTGCCCTGAGTCTCCACACAAGGGCAGGTCACAAAGAGGTCATGTCGTTGAGGGCATGGTCGAGCTCCTCACTGATGGCTTTGTACTTCAGCTTCTGAGCGTAGAGCTCATCTGTCAGTCATGAGGGCAGCAGGAACAGGCCAGCAAGAAATGCAGGGAAGAGAAGAAGCCACAGGAGGAGAACGAAGACAGGCAAAAGGCAACAGCAGCCAAAGAAGTTGGGGAGAAAAACAAAAGAAAACAGAAGTGTAGTTGAGTATCAGAAGGAAAGCAAAAGGCTCACAAAGCTGGTCAGAAGTTTCACCTATGTGAACATTTTGTCTTCTTGTAATCTCGCAATTATTTTCCAGTAAACAGATTAAGTAGGGCGTGGAAAAATAGGCCATAATCAGGTCATTGTTACCAACCTTGTGAAAGAAAACCTTTTCCAGGAGAACTTCCATCACACAGGGCAGGTGTCCAGTGGACACATCACACCCATCTACCAATATGCCTGATGAGTGCTGCTGTTCTTTCCCAATAAAACCAACCCCCCACTCCTTGAATTTGTTCTCCGATTTGAAACAGAACACTTTTAACAAAACTTGAGTCATTCCATACCTTCCAGGTCATCAATAGACTTTTCCAGTTTGGCAACAGTTCTCTCTGCAAATTCCGCACGAGTTTCAGCCTAAAAAAGTTGAAATAGCATCATTGGGTGCTCCTAGAAAGATTATGCCCAAAGACAGTTTAGGGATGGCCAAACTTACTTCTTTCAGCTTGTCAGAGAGAATCTTGATTTCTTCTTCATATTTATCTTCTTTTTCTGAGTACTGTGAAAACAATAAACACTCTTTAAGGGAAGCTGTAGCAAAAAGAATAAATGTTAATGCAACTGTGACCTATTCATAAGCACTTGTCCTTTTACAACAGCTGCAAACACCATTTCCTTGCTTTTCTCCTCTCCCCCAGACCTCCAGGCTTGTTTGGGCAGAACTGAAGGAGTGGTATCCACAAGCAGGCAGGTAAAACCTCTCATCTGCTTTGTATTTCTAGTTTATTTCTATGATTTCTATACACAAGTTTTGGCTTTGCCCATGTCCTGTAGTTGACTGAAAGAACCAACCTTTTCAGATTGAGCTTCCAAAGATTTCAGGTTGTTTGTGACGTTCTTTAACTCCTCTTCAAGGTCGCTACATTTACTATAAGGGGAAAATATAAGTATGAATTATTAGTGTTCCTGTTATGATTGGAGGATTCTAAAGAATACAAAGGAGGAAGTAATTAAGTCTGAAAGAAGAAAACCAGGTATATAGTGTACAAACAAACTCTTCTGCAAGTACTAACTACATGTTTGCCTACCAGATTTTCTTAATGAAATGGAATGTTGATCTTTATTGAATTCTAAAAAGTTACTCACACTTCAGACACCTCTGCACGCTCCTCAGCTCTTTCCAGTTCACCCTCCAAAATAACCAGTTTACGGGCAACCTGTAAAAAGACAACACCTGTGTCAGGCCAGTCTGTAGTTCACAGAATGACAGCACAGTTTGGGTTGGGAGGGACCTCAAAAATCTTCTAGTTCCATCCCCTGCCACAGGCTGGGACACCTTCCTTACAGATTTCAAAAAGCAGTCAGAAGTACTCCATTCTTGCTTCCTCTAGAATAAGGAATTCGGTTAAAGGATATACCAATACACATACATAAAGCTACAACAGCCCTCCCCAATTATTTAGATTTTGCAGTATTTTTAGCATTAGGTACCTAACATGCTGCAAATCACTATTAAAATCCTACTTGTCGGGGCTAAACTGAAGAGTAGCATTATTGTTCATGGCCCTTCTGTATGTTTTACCATTTCCTTCTCCCTTTTACCTCCTCATACTTGCGGTCAGCTTCTTCAGCAATGTGCTTGGCCTCCTTCAACTGCATTTCCTGAATTTCCATTTTCTCTTCATCTTTCATTGCTCTGTTCTCAATAACCTTCATTCCTCTGCAGAAGTCAAAGCATGTTTAATGTAGAAGCATTATGGCACTTCTATCTCAACTTCACAAAGTGGAATTTGGTATTTATGACCCAAAAGTGGCCCATTATGACCATCGTGTTCATCATGGCATTACTCAATCAAGCTTGTAAAAAAGTTTCAGGTCTCTGACCTGCAGCCCACATGAGCACATGCAGATACTAAATGACACAGGAGTATTTAATTCATATATATCCACTTTTTCAACGACAGAAAATAAAAAAGGAACGTACCTCTCACTCTCATCTGCTGCTTTCTCTGCCTCCTCCAATTTCTGCAGGGCTGTGGCCAGTCGTTCCTGGGCGCGATCCAACTCCTCTTCCACGAGCTGGATGCGTCTGTTCAGAGCTGCCACCTCACCTTCAGCCTGCATGAAACAACCACCCAGAACTGGGGTTACACCAGCCCCTTGCTGCTGGCGAATGCTCCCAACTAATCAGGTTCCTTTAACTGCACCAGCATCTCCCTGGGACATGCAAGGGAGCTCAGAGGCCCTTCTGCCTCTGCTTTTTTGTTTGCCTTAACTGTGGCATCTCAGGAATGTCAAGGTATAGAGTGAGTGTTTGTCCCTTCTTTTTTTAATGGCACTTACCATTCCTGCCACACAAGAAGGAACTCTACAGGACTGCAAATGGATCAGGGTATTTCTGAAGCACTTCACAGGGCTGCGTATATACAAACTTAAAGAATGAACTGTTTCCATGATGGCTTAGTTCCAAAACCTTCACCGCTGATTTCTCTGCCCTTGGTTTCAGTGACACCCTGTCACAGCTCACTGTGAAGTCTGAGCCAGTTCCTGATCCATTCTGGCTCCCTAGCCTGCAATGCTGTAGATTCTGTGTGGTCAGCTGGGCACAGACAGTGGCCTCAGCATGGCAGAGTCAGGCTTTTTTGGGACAAAATTAGATATAGTCTTAAAATAAGTTTCCTTTGCTTCCTGTGGTACTTAAGGAATTAGTTGGGATGCATTTCTTAATAGTAAGATCTGCTTGTGCATTATTGAATAAACTGCACAGTAACTGAACACCGTTAAAAGTCTGAAAAACAGACTAGTTAATAAATGGAAGAGACTGCTAGGAGAAAGGCTCGATACAGACAACATGGACAAATTGGTGTCCATAAGCATGTGTTTATTAAGATATGGGTCCTTTAATTGCTTGGTTTTGAAGGAAAATAAAACCCTGCTTTAGTAACTGCCAAGCTTGTGCTTGTTATTGTCCCCAAATCTGAGGGGGATTGCTATATATAAGGTTAGCTTTTTTTTTTCCCAAACACTTTTATGAGATATAGACCCTGGAGGAGCAGCTGTTTTATGCTTTATGCTAAAACACTTTGGAAAAAAACACTGTGTTTTGCTGCAGCTTAGCAAATTTGGTCACTGACCACTCCTAAGCTAGAGGAAGTGGTTTCCATTCACTTCTGAGCCATCTTGGAAAGGAGTTCGATGACTTCAAATGGAAGCTGACCCAGGAATTCCTCTAGTCATCAATTATCCAACATTTCATCTGTTTTTACCCAGTGCAGTGTTTAACTTCCCGATTTACAGACAAGGCATCGATCATGTACAAAACTGGGATCTGTTCTGTAGCAGCAACTTCTTCCACTAGATAGGGTACTTTTAAGTCACATTTTAATTCAGCAAGATTCCATGGCTCTGGAGCCGGGGCCACTGGGAATCTGGGGTGAGCCTGGCTCCACCTCTCCCAGCAGCAGCCCGCAGTCCTTATACGGTAAAACTAACTCGCTGACATGTGATAAA